CTGCACATTGTATTGCACAGTACATATCTGCAATACTGTTTCCACAGAAAATCTTTGAAAAAGATTTTCTATAAGTGAATTACCTATATGTGAATTCTCAAATGATAAAATTTACATAATGACTAAACAGTTACAAATGTAATATATGTCTTAAATTGAAGAGAAGTTTGTATTATCTGCAGAATTATAGAAGCATTATAACTTTATAGCATCATAGGGTAAGTGTGTCTACAGGTTAAAAATGCATGCCTCCAGTAACAGAACCATGTGCAGGTTCAACTGAATGCTGTGAAGAGTGGCAAGGTGGTGCTCACCGTGCAGAGGCTAGCACGGCTCATTCACAGATGGGACTCGCAGCTGCCCATTGCCTTTCAAGCACAGAACACTCAGACTCAGCACCCCTACATCAGTACACCTGCTAAGCGCTGGGAAAGGAGGAAACCATGCCAGCTGCACAGCTGAAATGGAAACACAAATAGCTGCTCTCTGTGTGCTGGAGACACCACAGAATGAGCTGTCCGTTTTCCTCATTGCTACCCACATGCCATCAGTAACGAACAAGCGTATGAATAGTCCTGGGGACAAGTGCACAGCCAGTGCTCAGGGAGATGCTGGAGGCAATGCAGATTCCAAGAGCATCTGAAACCTGTAGGAGCGTATCCATCAGGAATTATGCTGGGTAGGAACTTAGGAATATTTTTGTTTGGCTCTTTCCTGAAATACTGAAGACTTGGCACAGTAATTTTTGACAAAAACTAAAAAGGACAGATTATCACCATGGAAGCCAATTACAATTTGTTCTGATATTATAAGCCCCTTCAAGTATGAAAATGGTAAACAACAGTAAGAAATCCACAAGCTTAAAAATGCAGCCAATGGCTGTTATTAGAAATTGGACTTATAATAAAATTAAGGAAGTTTGCAACTTATGTAACCTATGAACTAGATAAATGGAACTTATTTTCTTATGAAACCACTTCAAGATCCGGGTTAGTTAGGGAAGGTGCTTAGGCCATGGCCTGGAAATGCTATCGTCATAAATGATTGCAGAAGAATCACCATTCATGATCACTACCGGTTAAGATAAGCAGGATAAGGCATAGTAATGTGCTAGAAAGCAGGTGGGGTGATTTGAAAAGAAAAGCTTGACTAAAATGAAAGCTTTTTAGCATCTACTCTAAAAGTAGTATTTAAGAACTTCTCATTTTCCCAAGACAATTAAACATGACTCTTTGAGAAAGTAAAGCTTTCAGATTTTAGGATCTTTGAGGAATTAAATGAGTTCTAAATTAGTGAAAAAAAATAGAAACACATCCCCCTGAAATAAAGTGGCAAGAGACAGACAATAACTTCTGGAATTTATACTAAAGTACATGGTTGGCCGAGGACAACTTCGTCAGTAAACCCTCTTACTCACATTGCAAAGGATCTTGGCTGTGTCTGAGACTTGGGGCAGTGAGCCAGGAGCTACCTGCAGGCACAGGTGTAGAAGCTGCCTTGCTTTCATCATTTCTGAATTTACTGCCAATGGAAGTCAGTATGGTGCAGGCCAAAGGAGACTGTGTAGGGGAACGGCCTATTAGTAGGTACCTTCTGCCAACTTACTTGGCCTGTCTAAATGCATATTTCCTCATAAGTGAAAGAACTGAATCATTTAACCAAAATATTGCTGAGATCAAACACAATACTGTGCTAATAATCTACATCTATGAAACAAAATGTGGAGTATTTTTCTTACCTCCTGTAGCAGGGTAAGTGAAAGCAAGTACACCTGGAGCCCTACGGGACTTGGGTTAAATAGTGGAAAGGGGTTACTCATATGCACACAGGACATAACCAAGCATTGCCTCTGTTTTCTGTTGATACCAAGCTTTCCGTGGATTGACTCCCACTGCAGCCATCCCTTATTGCCATTTGTGTGCAAACTTGCAGGGAACAACTTACTCTGGCAGTGTGATAACCAGTCTCGGAGGCTGTCAGTTCTGTGCTGAGAGTGACTTCATGTAATTCCACTCTACATTTTCAGTCTTCAGAGATCTTTCTAGTGCATTGCAAGCTTCACTGAGTGAAGACTGCACCTCAGTCACTAAGCCAGTCACCACCAGTGTATTGTTACTTCATCATGGGAGATGATAGGTAGGAGACTGTGTCTGAGGCCCACACCGAAGAATAAAGAAAAAAAGAAAGAAAAAGATCCTACTTGAAAATAAGGTTAAAAAAAAAAGGTATAGTGGTGTGGCTCAAGTGGTAGACGCCCCTACCAAGAAAAGATGGAGACCTTGGGTTTCAAATCCCATACCATTAGATAAAAAAATTAATAATTTAGGTAAAGATAGCTAATCCACACAACATGCACGCAATACTGATAGCGCACACCAGGAAGACCAGCTAAAGACTAGCCTCTAAACGTCCAGCCGGCACAAGCTTGCATCTTCACGCTCAGAGACCCTCGCACAGCCAAACAGGTGCAGAAGCGCTGCTCAATGGCAGGCTGGTTTTGGGTTCTGATACCCGGGCCAGCCACGTCGATGGTGCACTTGGCTTAAAACCAACGAGGACAAGGATCAACCAACCCCCCCCCCACTCCCCGCCACCCCCCCGGCGGACTCCCCTTTCCGCGGGCCGTCCCGGTCCTCCGGAAACACCCACCGAACTTGCAGGTATTCGGGGGTCGGAAGCGACGCGGCCAGCTCATGGCGCCGGGCGGGGCGGCTGGGGTGGCTCCGGGGTGAACGTTGACTTCCCCCCGGGGGGGCGCCGGGCGGGGCGGGAGGGGGCGCGGGC